TCACATAGACCCATAGACTCACACAGAGACCCACAGACTCACACAGAGCCCCATAGACTCACACAGAGACCCATAGACACACACAGAGACCCATAGCCTCAACAGAGACCCATAGACTCACACAGAGACCCATAGACTCACATAGAGACCCTAGACTCACACAGAGACCCAAGACTCACACAGAGACCCACAGACTTACACAAACAGACCCACAAACTCACAGAAAGATCCACAGACTCACACAGACAGACCCACAGACTCACACAGAGACCCATAGACTCACACAGAGATCCACAGACTCACACAGAGACCCACAGACTCACACAGAGACCCATAGACTCACACAGATCCACGACTCACACGACAGACCCAGAGACTCAGACAGAGACCCACAGACTCACACAACAGACCCAGAAACTCACAGAAAGATCCACGACTCACACAGACAGACCCACAGACTCACACAACAGACCCACAAACTCACAGAAAGATCCACACTCACACAGACAGACCCACAGACTCACACAGAGACCCATGACTCACACAGAGATCCACAGACTCACACAGAGACCCACAGACTCACACAGAGACCCATATACTCACACAGATCCACAGACTCACACGAGACCCATAGACACAGACAGAGATCCACAGACTCACACAGAGACCCATACTCACACAGAGCCCCATAGACTCACACAGACCCATAGACACACACAGAGACCATAGACTCACATAGACCCATAGACTCACACAGAGACCCACAGACTCACACAGAGCCCCATAGACTCACACAGAGACCCATAGACACACACAGAGACCCATAGACTCACACAGAGACCCATAGACACAGACAGAGATCCACAGACTCACACAGAGACCCATAGACCACACAGAGCCCCACAGACTCACACAAGACCCACAGACTCACACAAACAGACCCACAAACTCACAGAAAGATCCACAGACTCACACATACAGACCCACAGACTCAGACAGAGACCACAACTCACACAAACAGACCACAACTCACAGAAAGATCCACAGACTCACACAGACAGACCCGCAGACTCACACAGACAGACCCACAGACTCACACAAACAGACCCACAAACTCACAGAAAGATCCACAGACTCACACAGACAGACCCACAGACTCACACAGACGACCCACAGACTCACACAGACAGACCCACAGACTCACACAGACAGACCCACAAACTCACAGACAGACCCACAGACTCACACAGACAGACCCACAGACTCAGACAGAGACCCACAGACTCAAACACAGACCCAAAACTCACAGAAAGATCCACAGACTCACACAGACAGACCCACAGACTCACACAAACAGACCCACAAACTCACAGAAGATCCACAGACTCACACAGACAGACCCACAGACTCACACAGACAGACCCACAGACTCACACAAACAGACCCACAAACTCACAGAAAGATCCACAGACTCACACAGACAGACCCACAGACTCACACAGAGACCCATAGACTCACACAGAGACCCACAGACTCACACAGAGACCCACGACTCACACAGAGACCATAGTCTCACACAGAGACCCAGACTCACACAGAGATACCCATAGACTCACTCACACAGAGACCCACAGACTCACACAGAGACCCATAGCCTCACACAGAACCCACAGACTCACACAGAGACCCACAGACTCACACCGAGCCCCATAGATCACACAGAGACCCATAGACACACACAGAGACCCATAGACTCACACAGAGACCCTAGACACAGACAGAGATCCAGACTCACACAGAGACCCATAGACTCCACAGAGCCCCACAGACTCACACAGAGACCCACAGACTTACACAAACAGACCCACAAACTCACAGAAGATCCACAGACTCACACAGACAGACCCACAGACTCAGACAGAGACCCACAGACTCACACAAACAGACCCACAAACTCACAGAAAGATCCACAGACTCACACAGACAGACCCACAGACTCACACAGACAGACCCACAGACTCACACAAACAGACCCACAAACTCACAGAAATCCACAGACTCACACAGACAGACCCACAGACTCAGACAGAGACCCACAGACTCACACAAACAGACCCAAAAACTCACAGAAAGATCCACAGACTCACACAGACAGACCCACAGACTCACACAAACAGACCCACAAACTCACAGAAAGACCACAGACTCACACAGACAGACCCACAGACTCACACAGACAGACCCACAGACTCACACAAACAGACCCACAAACTCACAGAAAGATCCACAGACTCACACAGACAGACCCAATACTCACACGAGACCCATAGACTCACACAGAGACCCACAGACTCACACAGAGACCCACAGACTCACACAGAGACCCATAGTCTCACACAGAGACCCACAGACTCACCAGAGAGTACCCATAGACTCACTCACACAGAACCCAGACTCACACAGAGCCCATACCTCACACAGAGACCCACAGACTCACACAGAGACCCACGACTCACACAGAGCCCCATAGACTCACACAGACCCATAGACACACACAGAGACCCATAGCTCACACAGAGACCCATAGACACAGACAGAGATCCCCAGACTCACACAGAGACCCATAGACTACCACAGCCCCCACAGACTCACACAGAGACCCACAGACTTACACAAACAGACCCACAAACTCACAGAAAGATCCAGACTCACACAGACAGACCCACAGACTCAGAC